AGTTTCTTGCTTTTCTGCTTCCTTTGCTTTTTGAATAAATTAGTTATATTTGATATTTTCCAATCTAATGGATCCTTTTCTGCATCTAACGAATTTTGGAAAATTCAAACCAAAGCATCAACTGCCCCAATATCTACTTGTAAGACCCTGGGTTGAAATCCATCAGGACCTACGGCTCTTTGACCTGGGAACTTGTCAACTTGCAATTCAAATAATTTAATCAGTACTGCTTTCCTGATAATTGTAATTTTCAGCTACTGATTTACAGCTATTTCTGAGACGCTACTTGTATCCTCCTTCTAAGGAAGGCTTACGCAAAATATGTTTAATTTTTCTACAAGACAATACAGATAGGTTAAGTGAATGAGCTAGCAAATGGAGTACCATGTGAAATAGGGAAAATTTGTCCATTTTCACAGAAAGACTTAAAAAGGAAATACAACCATCTAAATGGTGAGATGTTGCAAACCTCAGATTTTTTAAATTCATTTGCAGGATGCAGGAGTCACTGGCAAGACCAGCATTTATTGCCGAGCCCTAATTACCCAGAGGGCAATTAAGGATCAATCACATTGCTGTGGATCTGGAGTCACAGACCAGGTTATCAACAACAGATTTCCTTCAATGAATGGCATGAGTGAACAAGATGAGTTTTTCTGACAATTGACAACAGTTAGACTCTTAATTTCAAATTTTTATTCACTCAAATTCCACAATCTGCCATAGCAGGATTCAAGTCTGGGTCCCAGACATTAGCTGGGTCACTAGATTAATTATCCAGCGAGAATACCACTGCGCTATTGCCTCCCTAACAGATCTGGGTATCCTAGTGCACAAACCACAGAAGGTTAATATGCTGATACAGCAAGAATCAGGAAAGCTAATAGAATGTTATGCTTTATTGCAAGTGCAATTGAATGAAAAGTTCAGTGAGGTTATGCATCAATTATACAGGGTATTTGTGAGACCACATCTGGAGTGCAGTATACAATATTGGTCGCTGTACATACAGAAGGATGTTAATGCATTGGAAGCAGTTCAGAGAAGCTTTACTGGACTAATATCTGGAATGAGTGGATTCAATTATGAGAAAAGGCTGCTCAAGCTATGCCTGTCTTCTCTGGACTTCGGAAGAGTCAAAAGTGATTTAATTGAAGCAAACAAGATCCTGAGGCGGCTCGACTTGGTGGATTTTTGAAGAATGTTTCCTCTTGTGGGAGAATCAAGAACTGTGGTTGACAGTTCAAAAGTAAGGAGTTGCCCATTTAAAACAGACGTGAGGAATCATTTATTTCCACTGGAGAGTTGGAGTGCTTTTGGAATTCCCTTCCTCAAGAGGGCACAGAATCTTCAGAACATTTTTAAAGCAGAAATAGATATATTCATGATTATCGTGAAGGATTACTGGAGGTATACAGGAATTATAGAGTTGCAGTTAAAATCAGATCAGCCAATCACATTAATTCCAAAAGCACTCCTTTACTGTACCTACATCAGAGAGAATATTGTTCTCTTTCACATCTTTAGGGCTTAACTGTGGCTTCAATTCTCCATCTTATGAAACTGATAGCCTTTTCTTTAGCTTTATACAACAGAACATAGAGCTTCTCAGCTTCAAATTACCCTTTTAGGGTTTTAACCAAACGTTTAGAATCATAGAGTCTGACAGCACGGAGACAGGCCCTTTGGTCCATGACGTCCAAAATGTCCATCCACGCTATCAGCATTTCCCTGCACTTGGCCCATATCCTTCTAAACCTTTCCTTTCCATGTATTCATCCAAATGCCTTTTAAGCAATGTTAATGTACCCGCCCCAATCACTACCGCTGGCAGCTTATTCCATAAGTGTACCACCCTCTGTGTAAAAAGGTTGCCCCTCAGGTTCCCATGTATTCTTTCCCCTCTTAACTTAAAGTGATGCCTCTGGTCCTCCATTCCCCAACCCTAGCAAAAAGACTGAGTGCATTCACCCTATCCGTGTCTCTCATGATCTTATACACTTCTATAAGATCCCCCCTCAGTCTCCTATGCTCCAAAGAAAAAAGTCCTAGCTTGTCCAACCTCTCCCTATAACTCAGTCCCTTGAGTCCCAGCAACATCTTTGTAAATTTCTTCTGCACACTTTCCAGTCTAATAACATCCTTCCTACAGCAAGGTGACTAAAACTGAACAAAATACTCCAAGTGTGGCCTCACCAATGTCCTGTACAACTGCATTATAATTTCCCAACTTCTATACTCAATACCTTAATTGATGAAGGCCAGTGTGTCAAAAGCTTTCTTCACTGCCCTGTCTACCTGTGACTCCACTTTCAGAGAACTGTATACCTGAACTCCAGGTCCCTCTGTTCCACTACACTCCTTAAGGCCCTACCATTCACCATGAAACTTCTACCTCAAATTGACTTTCCAAAATACAACACCTCACACTTATCTGTATTAAATTCCATTTGCCATTTCTTGGCCCACTTCCCCAGCTGATCAAGATCCTGCTGCAATGTCTGATAACCTTCCTCACTGTCAACGAAATCGCCTATTTTAGTGTCATCTGTAAACTTACTAATCATGCCTTATACATTTGATATAGATAACATATCAAGCTAATTGTGTATCCAATTTGCCAGCTCTCCCTGGATTCTATGTGATCTAACCTTCCAGAGCAGCCTACCATGTGGAACCTTATCAAAGGCCTTACTGAAATCCACGTAGACTACGTCTAACACCCTGCCCTCATCAACCTTTCTGGTCACTTAATCAAAGAACTCTAACAAATTTGTGAGGCATGATCTCCCACGCACAAAGCCACGCCGACTACTCCTAATCAAACCCTGTCTTTCTAAATGCATGTATATCTTACCCCTCAGAATTTTCTCAAGTAACTTACCTACCACAGATTTTAAGCTTACTAGTCTATAGTTCCAGGTTTTTCTTTTCCTTCTTGAATAAGGGCACAACACTCGCTACCTTCCAGTCTTCTGGGACCTCACCTGTGGCTAACAATGATGCAAATATATCAGCCAGCGGCCCCGCAATTTCTTCTCTAGCCTCTTGCAGGGTTCTTTGATATATCTGGTCAGGATCATAAGATTTATCCACCTTCATACATTCTAATACTTCCAACACCTCCTCAACTGTGATACGGGCTGTCCCCGAGATATCGCCACTAACTTACCCCAAGTTCACAAGTCTTCATGTCTTTCTCCACAGTAAACACAGAGGAGAAATATTCATTGGGGACCTCGGCCATCTCCTGTAGTTCCACACATACATGTCCATTTGGTCCTTGAGGGGTCCTATTCTCTCTAGTTATTCTTTCTCCTTCAATATACTTAAAGAATCTCTTTGGATTCACCCCAATCTTCTCAGCCAAAGCAATCTCTTGCCCCTTTTTCACCCTCGTGATTTCCTTCTTCAGTAAACTCTTGTATCCAGGGATTCCCTTGATCCCAGCTGCCTGTTCCTGAGCCATGCCTCCTCCTTTTTTTCTGGTCAAAGCCTCAATATCTCGTCATCCAGGGTTCCCTACTCATGCCAACCTTGCCCTTCACCCTCATAGGAACACATAGACCTTGAATTCTAGCTATCAAATTTTTAAAGGCCTCCCACTTGCCAGAGGTTCCTTTGCCTGCAAACAAACTACTCCAATCAACCCCTGCAAGCTCCTGTCTAATTCCATCAAAATTCACCTTGCCCCCTCATCTAGAATTTTCAAACCAAATTTATTACAGGCAGAACCATTATGTCTTAACAACCTTTCTCAGGAGCAACTGTTTTAGATACCCAGCTTCAACGAAGATTTGTGCAATCTTGCAAAACCGAAACTAAGAATTTTGTTCAAGCCATGGGTATTTCCACTAACCAAAAAGAAAAAAAAACTCTGACCTCCTGAACTGAAAACTGAATATACAACTGTTTACTTTGTTATTTTCCCCAAATGAAAACCCTATTATACAATAGGAACTCTCTCCCACACTGTTTTTTTTTCAAATATATCACCATGGCTACAGAACTTCCAAGTTAATCATTAAACCCCTTCCAGCACATAGACCAAATTCCACACACCACTAGCTCAAATCAAACTCAGAAACAGATCATATTAAAATACATATAAATTACACACCTTAGACCACATAATCTATAAATTAACAAGTACATTATACAATAACAACATATTTGTCATCTTGTCTATCACAACTAAATAGTATAATAAACAATTTTAAGTATGTTTACTGGTTTGCCTAAATAAGCAGAACAAAATCTATAAATTCAAAAGAGTTATAAGAAAATAATAACCAAATCATCATCTAAATAAACAAACCAATCAAATAACTCAAAGGGACATTAGGTCTGGAGTGAGCTGGCACCTATAGGTCAGAGGTATCAGGCCTGAAGCTAATGTGAGAGCACGATGAGACAGACAGAGACAGAGCGAGAGAGTGTGCGTGTGCAAGAGAAAGAGAGAGAGAGAGAATGAGAAAGTGAGTGAATGGGGGGGGTTGGGGAAGACAGAGAGAGGGAGATGGAGAGAAGCAGGTCTAGAGTGCGGGACGGTGGGTAGAGCATGAAAGAAAGAAGATATAGATAGAGGAACAAAGAATGTATCTATGGAACACCATAGGGCATGAACTGTATGTAGAATTAAAATTCTGATGTGTAGCATTCATAATAATAAAGCATAATATACCTAGAGGCAATAATATTTCACTTGCGGCAAATTACTACTCAATTTTTAAGTGGCCAAATACCTGACTGACTAAATATAAACAAATTCACGGTTGTAAGAAGTAACTAGGAAAAAGAAATAGCAAATCATATATAAAAGTTACTAATTTACAATGGCAAAATTTCATGGTCTATATTGAAAGCTTGTCAGTGTATATGAGTACCACACTGCATGCATTTCAACAACTCATGGAGAAAACAGATTCATTCACCTTCCCTCTCATTTTAGTTTTCTTTAAAATGTGAATCAAAATAATAACCATTACAAATCTCCTTACTTCTTCAGGGAGAACAGTCAAAATTTGTGTTTCCACCCCTGCCCTCCACAGATGGTTTTCAGCTGCTCCATCTCATCTCTGTCTACATGCAGCTGCTAGATAGGGGAAAAACTGCTTTGTTGTGCATTCCCCACATCGTGCTCTCCCGTTTGGTGCGTGCCAGTCTCCTCCCATGAGTCTTGTAAACAGCCTGCATGCAACCAATTAGCAAAACATCCAAGTGTAATTCTGTTTCAGAATAAAAGGAACCAAATATTTAAACAGTACCACGAACATAAAAGCTCAAAAATCAATGAAGTAGTAAACAAGATGTATTATTGTGCACAACATTTAATGCCAAGCAATTTGATAAAATGATATATTACCAAGAACACATTAAAAATTAATAATACAAATATTAAGCAAATTAACAGGCAGATTGAGAAGTCAAAATAAAGCCACCATGCTTTAACAGAGGTAATTTCACACCAAAGTGTAGTCAGCCAAAACATTTAAGAATAAATGAACCATATATCCACAATCGTCCTATACTGCTTTTGAAAAACTAATTTTAAGATTTAATCTAAAATAAGCACAATTTGATACCAAATAAAATTGTAGGAACAAAGCTTATCTTCAATTATATAACATTATAGTGAATTTCCAACCGTCATTGCTAGTCAAGCATCTTATAACCTTGTAATCAGTCATATAATGACAAATGGAGTCTGTAGCTGAATAATACGTTTAACTTTGGCTTCACTGCAGAGCATACCCATCACATTTTTTTAAATGCCCATAAAAGGCTACATTTAAAAAGGTAGGTGGAAGAAACTCGAAGCCACTCACTGTAAAACACAAAACTCTTGAGATTTCTTGTGTTGATAAAGTGTTTGAGATTTAATTGGTCTCATACAACATCACAAATGCTTGCCAGAATGGTCTTTTAAAAATACACTCCACCCAGAGATACAGCATGGCAGCTTCAACACAAAAACACTCCACGTCATTAATGGAACATACTACCTTAAGTGACTGTCTGTTATCTAACATCAAGCCATTGGGTAAAAGTAAATCCTTCCAGATTCCTCCTTGTAAATCAGTAGAAACAAAGCACAATATTTTTACCTCTAGATTTTTATCATTTTATGCAGCAGTGACAGAAATAAAGAATGATCTAATGTCAGCTGTCAGGCATTAAAAGTAAGCTTTAAACAGCACATCTGAGCCAGTCGCCGACTATATTATGCGTAAGACGTGTGGTGCACTAAAGTCACTACAGATTCTTATGCCAGTAATGCAAACAGCAGCCATTACAGTATGATGGTGAACAGCATCGACATCCAAAAATACAGCATAGCAGCTCCCATACAACACCCTTCTGCATTGTTAAACGTGGCAGCCACACAGAATAGTGTTATGTGACATCTTAGTAATATCATAATTTTAACTAACTGATCATGATAATATTACAGTATTGTAAAATGCATCGACTGTCTTAATAGCACTGCTAGGTTATCCTGAAGGAAACTGTAAAAAAAAATTGCATTGTGGAGATTTTTGCTTGGTTGCCACCCTATCCCTACCTTTTGTTCTTGGCTTCCTCCTCTTTCATCAATCGTCTTTCACACAGAAATGTATCTTTTGTTGGCTTGAAGATCTCCAGTAATATAAATTTTACTTTAGGACTTTGAGATATCCATTTCATAGAAGAGCAGCTATTTGTTAAGCAGCAGCCAAAGCAATGCAGTATACTGCGCAAACACACTGCTGGTGCTGCTGCTTGCTAGAAAGATCTAACGTCATCATTTAGACTGGCAGACTCACAGCCACTCAGGCTCTCCAACTGCAATCAATGCCTGAAACCTTGCAATTCAAATGAGATCAGAGCTAACAGATCAGACAATAAATATTGGAAAGGCAACCCAAGGCAAACAATATAGCTAACCCTTTAACAGTATATTATTACACCAATACACGCATGATGTGATCACCATCAAATATATTGCAGTCTAAAATAAAACAATCCTTTTAGGTAAATAATAAAAATAACCATTGTTTTTGTGTCCCTTTTCAATTTTGCTTCAGTTTTTAATACAATTTCAAGAAACATCTGAATTGCTGTCAAATGTTGCACTGCATATTTGATTAGTGTTTGAATTAACTCAAGATTGTGAATTGAATTATCTAGCAAAAAACAACTGCATACAATAGAGTGCCACTTAGCAGCAAATCCTTTAACGTTGCTTATGATCCTCACAACTACTTTTTGTCCCAAATATATCAACTGGCACCTTTTCTATTTTGTAACATTTTTCAGACCCTTCCGTCAACACTTTCCTAACCAAGCAATCAGACAGTTCATACTTTTACATAAATCCCAAAAGTCAACTTTTCTCACTTGACCATGAGAAAGTTTACCAATGAAAGCTAGATAAAACCTGTATTTGGAAATGCAAACAACATTTACACTCATCATTTCTTCAATACTCCCTAAGAATATTCCACTTTAAGGTTCTGAATTTGCACCTTACTGTTTTAGGATTATGGCCTTATGCCTGAGGTTTGTATGCTTTTCCAATGGATGAAAAACATCCATACATAATATAGATATCCCGACAGTGTAGAGACATGTTTTACACATCAGGCATAAGTTGAAGAGTATTTTAGCAGACTGCTAGTATGCAGCCAGTGATAAAAAAAAGTACATAACATGTATTGAGATTTGAATTTTAAAATGGAGCCAGATGGATACCGTTCAGTTCTAAGAAGGTAATTTTCTTTTAAACAGGTCACTGTTCCCATTTACTTGCTGATCCAGTGCAGCAATTCCAAGAAAGCATATGACTGTAGTCAAGTGCCAGGGAGAACCCCTGTACGTTTATATTACTGAGCTTATAATAGATTTTTTAAAACTCAGAGGCGATTGGTTTTGGCCTCAGAACAACGTTTCAAGATCTCAGTTCAGTTCAGAAAACGGTAAAAATTCTCCCAGCAGCAGAATCAGGTTTCAGTTTGGGGAACCAGTTACCTCACCAGAAGTGGTTTCTAGTCTGTAGAGCTTCCAAACGGGGAAAGCTTAGAAAGAAGTCTTTAAGTTGTTAGAATTGCATAGTTCAGGCCATCAGAATTGGTTAAAGTCTGCGACTTTTTATTTTTACGATTATGGATTGAAATGGGAAAAGAACTGTTTTAAAAACAAAGAACTGTTGAGGATTGCTGCACATCTTAAAGCAAGCAACCTGACACTTCGTTGCAAGTTAAGAGATAACAAGGTGTAGAGCTGGATGAACACAGCAGG